TTGGAATTGAAATAGCAAGAAATGAACATGGGATCTATCTCAACCAAAGGAAATATGTGCTGGACATCCTAGACAAAACAGGACTCAAGGCTTGCAAAATAAGTCTCTACACCATTACCAGCAGGAATTAAGCTAGGTGGAGAAGAAGGTGAAGGACTAGAAGAACCTGAGAAATACAGAAGGCTAATTGGGCAGCTACTGTACTTGAACTTCACAAGACCGGACATAACATTTGCGGTCCAACAACTAAGCCAGTTCATGAACAAACCTTCACAAACTCATTGGGATGCAGCTATACACATAGTGAGATACTTGAAAGGCACACCATCTTTGGGGTTATTTTACTCATCAAAGGCTACATTCAACCTAATTGGATACAGTGATGCAGATTGAGGAACATATCCAGACACAAGAAAGTCAGTCACAGGTTACTGCATCTTCTTGGGAACTTCACTCATTTCATGGAAAACAAAAAATCAGAGCACAGTGTCCAGATCATCTGCCGAGGCAGAGTACAGAGCACTGGCAAGTACAGTGTGTGAGCTTCAGTGGATTTACAACATATGGGTCGATTTGTGAATGCCTAATCCAACTCTTGTTACCCTATGGTGTGACAATCAAGCAGCAATGCACATTGCAGAGAATCCTATTTTCCATGAACGGACAAAGCACTTAGACATCGATTGCCACCTGGTCAGAAACAAAGTAAAAGAGGGATTCATTTACCTTAGCCATGATCAACTTGCAGATCTCCTCACAAAGCCGTTGGGGAAGACAATGTTTCAAAAACAAGTGTTCAAGTTAGGCATGTGTGACTCGCACGAGTGCCAAACTTGAGGAGGGCGTGTAAAAACGTGTTCCACTTATCCCTTTTTTATTTATTTATTTTCTCTTTTCTACAGCAACGTGATTCTCACGTGCTTCTTTTTGGCTTATTTATTCTAGTATCTTCTCGTCCACGTGTCGGACATTTATTGGCTGAGTTAGTTGAGAGGAAAAGAGCATGTGCGTATTGTTAGATATAAAACTTTGTATCTCTCTTCTTTTACAGGAATGAAGTTCATTTTTCTTCCTTCATTCATCGCAATGATTTTATCTACAGAAATTTACATTCCCATCTGTTAACATCCTCCAACAACTTCAACAGCATCACTGTATTATCAATCTCAACACTGAATTCATAAGCCACCGACTTACCGACCTGGGCATCCTTAAAATCGAATCCAGATATCTTAAAATCCTCGGTTTAAAACTCTAATGGAATGAATCGAAGAATGGAATGATTATCTAAAAAAAATATATTTATATTAATATTATTTATTATTTGTGATAATACTAATATTATTTTATATTTTAAAAATATACTATATTTTAATAAACATACTTTTGTATTGTTGTATCCATATTATATAATAAATAAGTGAATTATGTATTTATATACATATTAACTAATACAAATATATCATTGCATAAACCCATATAAGCATATGTGGCCGAATATAATTTTTTATATTTTTATAATTCAATTTATGAATNTTTATTTATTTGCTATTATTATTATTTTTATTTTTTATTTTTGTTTTTTTTTTTTTGAAAAATTGATTCCTAAACATATGAGAATGAAAAAACCATCCATTAGCTATGGAATGGCTAATCCCCTATAGATGGATATCCCCCCTATGTATTAATTCAAAACGTGCTGAGCCTAACTGGTAGACTCGCATATTTCGGGATCTTACGTGGCAAAATTACATGCTTCGTTATTAGGATTGGGTAGATTTTAATTTACTTCCAATCCAAAAATAACTAGGTTCGGATTGTCCATAAATATGTCGATTATTTACAGTCATGTTCCATGTATTAATTATATGTTAATATCATTTCTTATTATAACCATTGAATTGTAAATATATTTTAAAAGTTAATAACTTTTGTATTTTTTATCAGTTTTACATATATAATATATCAAATTAATCATCTCTTGACGAGCTTCGATTTAACATCCATATTGTATGTTTAAATAACTTTTTTTATCTTTATAACAATAATAAAATTATTTTTTAATAATAATTAGAAAAATAAAATTATTTATCAATTAATATTTTATATTTCAAGTAGTTATATGATATAAGTTATAAAAATTACTATAATATAACACATGTAAGTCGCACAAGTAACAAGTATCATTGTAAAATATACAATAATATATATTTTTTGTAAGAAAGTAATAAAATTTAAAATAATTTTTCAAATTAATTTTAAAATTTAAGAGTAATTTTTTAATAAGCACCCGTGTAATACACGGGTGTTTGTACTAGTTCTTATTTCCGTTGGAATGGTCATTCCCTTCTCAAATATCTACCAATCATGGGAATAGAAATGAAAGGAATGATCATACATTCCCACTTCATTCCCGCATATCAATCATGCCATAACCCTTTCACAAATGCTTCCTTCAAATCCAAGATAGCTTTTGAATGTGGAGGATTGAAATCTTGATTAGTAACCAAAGCCGTCGATTTCAAAAACTGGGTTCCGATCAGAAACAAATACCACACGGCGGAGGAAAATGGGGATCACAACTTCACATCCATGGAGACTTACAGAACAAATAATGGAGATTTCGAACAGAAAATTCGAGGGACAGCTCGTAGATGATTGAAATGCATTGAAATTTTGTGGTTTATTTGAGATATATAATTATGTTTAGGCTAAAGAGATTAACTAAAGATATGTTAAATAAATTAACTAAAGTAGATAATGTTATTTATAACTTAATAAGTGGTGCAGAATAATTATGTTTATTATTATTATTATTATTATTATTATTATTATTATTATTATTATTATTATTATTATTATTATTATTTTATTATTATTATTATTATTATTATTATTATTATTATTATTATTATTATTATTTTAGTATTTAAATATTGAGTACCTTTCTTGGTAATCAAGTTAGGTTTAGGATTAGGATTAGGGGCCTTATATAAAAGACTCCCTCTAGTTTATTTTGTTCAGTTGATTTTAAATGAAAATATGAATTGATTGTGAGATTTATCGAGAGTATCTCGTTTATCCTTCTCATTCATACACTTTTCTACATCAGTTGGTATCAGAGCAGTCAGTGCGATTCGCGATGTCGTCAGGATGACAAGATGCAGCAAACAAATGACGTGATGCAACCTTCAACGATCGGTTTCAACAGATTGATTACCGATTTCCACAGTTGGACGTGCGTTTCACGGATTGGTTTGCAGATCTTTCCACGGGGATCGAGGATTTGCGTTTGAAGCTTAACAACGTTGGTCTGAGATTTGCAGATGAACCGTGTCGCCGGCGACCAGGGTGTGCGTGGGGGAGTTCATGGAGGAAGTGAAGGTCGTGGTCCAGGCAGGGCGCCCCGTTTGCGATCTCCACGGCCGCCGCCCGGCGATGCAGACGGTGAGGAGACCATCTAGGAGATGGATCCCTTCGGAGAGTGGCCGCCTCCGCCCATCGAGACTAAGCTCGTTGTTGCTCATGAAGACCAAGATGTGTGGCAACAGAGTGCGATTTTTGAGGAAGATGATGGGCTATTGTACGACTGTCCGCCTATTTTTGATGAGGAGCCTCCGGTAACGGAAACATATCTTTGCAGCAATATGGGTCCCGCGTGGGACGTCGCAAAAGTTGAGCCTTTGACAGGGATGCCGTCGTTCAAACCCGATGTTTGGAGTATCTTGGCCAACGATGGTTTTTCGGAGCCGAAGCCGAGGCTCAATAACTGGTGGGCCATTTTCCCGATTGTCTATCCCGAAGTTTCCAATAATGGGATGCTTGGCCGTAATTATGGTTTTGAGTGTGGCGAGCGATATGGTATGTTTTGTGTTAATTCAGTTGTGTGGGTTATGCGTATGGAGGCGTGTACATGTGCCTTTCCAGCAGATCATTACTTGCCCAAGATTATGTTTACCTTCGGGGTTGTTGGGCGACTTTCAACCTTCGTGTTCGATGGGGGAAAGCCCGGGCAGTTCCTATCATGGGGACGTCTCTAACGGGAACGTGTCGGGTTCGAGGGCGAATCCTGCTCAACCGGGGGAGAATGGTGCAGAATAATAATAATAATAATAATAATAATAATAATAATAATAATAATAATAATAATAATAATAATAATAATTAATTATATTATTATTATTATAATTATTATTATTATTATTATTATTATTATTATTATTTTAGTATTTAAATATTGAGTACCTTTCTTGGTAATCAAGTTAGGTTTAGGATTAGGGGCCTTATATAAAGGACTCCCTCTAGTTTATTTTATTCAGTTGATTTTGAATGAAAATATGAATTGATTGTGAGATTTATCGAGAGAGTATCTCGTTTATCCTTCTCATTCGTACGCTTCCCTACATCAGATGATGGAGACAAGCTCGCGTTGGATTTTCTGGACAAATACAATCGGCTTCCTGCGTTGATTTGATTAGTCACATTGCATTATTATTTATTATCTTTATTCCTTATTTATCTTAATTAGTTGATTAGGAAAATATTTATTTACTTGCTTTTCAAGTTAGGGATTTTGGAAATCTTGGACTCTATTTATTCTCATTGTGGGATGAGAACAGACGATCAGTTGATGAATAAGAAATAAAAATCTGTTCTTGTGTGGTTTAACGAGAGAGAGTATCTCATTTATCCCATTCTTATTCACGTTCTACATCTGTTGGTATCCAGAGACCAGCAACGATCCACGATGCCGCCAAAGAAAGGGAACGATGCAAACGAAGCCGTCATCAAAGACCGATTCCAACGAATGGAGGATCGACTTCAAGGGATGGACGATCGATAGTTTGTTTCGGGGTTTGAATGTTGCTATCCAGGATGTGCTTAATCTAGTTGTCCCGGAGTCTGTTTCGGATGCACATCAACGAGCTCTCGTTGTTGAGAAATAGTTTACTCGAAAGACATGTCCGTCCATTGCATTGTCTTCACGTTCGGATGCGGGGATGGGTGTTACAAGTACGGGTTTGCAGTTCGGGCGTAGGACACCTGCTACGGGCATGTCCTCGGGCTCAGCACCGGCGATGGGGCGCGGAGCTGCGGCCAGTGGTGGGCTTCCGAGATCGAACGGCAAACTGGGGTCGGCGCCAAACACGGGTATGCAGCGGGCTGGTGGCGGGATACGATGCTTCAGCTGTGGTGAGCTTGGCCACCGACAGGCGGCTTGTACAAGAGGGGCCGGGTCACGTGCTTTGTTCGCCGAGGAAGTAGTGGAATATTCGGTCGCCGTAGTATACGATGGCCCTCCTAGTTTTGATAAGAAGCCGGAGGTTCTGGTTGTGCATGTCTCGGGGGACGTGGGTCATGCACTTGTCCTTCATCGATCCCTGTTGTCTCCCCACATTTTCTTCTGACGATACCAGTCAGCGGCGACACCTTTTTGAGTCTACTTGCACCATTGGCAGTCGGGTGTGCCGTTTTGTGATCGATTCCGACTCCTGCGAGAACGTGATTTCGGTTGAAACCATTCAGAAATTTGGGTTGGTGAGTGAGCCGCATCTGGATCCCTACTCTCTCGCGTGGCAACGCTATCTCTGTTACACGTCATGTACTGGTTTCATTTTCTTTCGGCGTGGCAACGCTGTCTCTGTCCGCCTATGTTGTCTCAACATAGCAGGTCCCAAGCCCTGGTAAAGGAGGAGGGTTATGATAGGCTTGACGAGCCAACGTAAAACCTAGCCGTTCTATGGAGATGAAACACATGAGAAATTCATTGAGGCGTAACCCTCTTAGCGACGCGCCATATCGGAACCAGGGTATGGTGTCAAATGGGCAAGGGCCGGGTCGTCTCCCCCTCGGGGACGCGCCATGTCGTGGTTTGGGCAAGGTGTTAAGTGAGCAAAGACCGGGTCGTCATTTCCTTAGTGGCGCGCTACATCGGCGCCCAGGTGTAGTGGAAAATGAGCAAGGGTCTTCGCATCTCTCTCGATGGGTGCGAAGGGCAAAGAAGCTAGTCGAACCAACTAGGGTCCGTATAGGTAGTTGGAACGTAGGGCCCTAATGGGTAAGCTACGTGAGCTAGTCGATGCAGCTACTAGGAGGCGTGTAAATATCCTATGCATCCAGGAGACTAAATGGAAGGGACAGAAGGCGAAGGAGGTGGAGGATACTGGCTTCAAGCTTTGGTTCACTGGGGTTTCATCGAGTAGGAATGGTGTAGGCATCTTGATCGATAGGAGCCTTAAGGATGGAGTTGTAGATGTTAGGAGGCAAGGAGACCGGATTATCCTAGTCCGATTGGTAGTTGGAGATTTGACCATGAATGTGATCAGTGCCTATGCTCCTCAGGTAGGTCTTAGTGAAAGCGTAAAGAGGCAATTCTGGGAGGATCTGAATACCTTGGTTCGTACGGTGCCTGCCAGCGAGAAGCTCTTCGTAGGAGGAGACCTAAACGGCCATTCGGGTGCGACTAATGTAGGTTTCGAGAGAGTGCACGGAGGGTTTGGGTATGGTAGTAGGGACGAAGAGGGGGAGGGTGTGTTGGATTTTGCGATGGCCTACGACTTGCTGATAGCGAACACCCTCTTTAGGAAGAGGGAATCTCACCTGGTGACCTTCCATAGTGGATGACACTCAAGTCATATCGACTTTATCCTTGCAAAGAGGGAGGATAGACGCGCTTGCGTAGATTGCAAGGTGATACCTGGGGAGTGTGTTGTCCCCAAGCATAAGCTGGTGGCGGCGGATTTTCGATTCCGAATACGTGTCCACCGGGACAAACGTGCGAAGACCATGAGAACGAAGTGGTGGAAGCTTAAAGGGGAAGTGGCACAGACGTTTAGGGATAGGATACTAGGCGAGGGGCCTTGGGAAGAAGGAGAAGATGCAGATGACATGTGGCTAAAGATGGCAACATGTGAACGGAAGGTGGCTGCAGAAGTACTTAGTGTGAGTAGGGGAGGCAAGCAGGAAGAGAAGGACACTTGGTGGTGGAATGACGAGGTGCAAAGGGCTATTCAGAAGAAGAAGGAGTGTTTCAAGCGTCTCCACCTTGACAAGAGTGCAACCAACATTGAGAGCTATAAAATAGTGAGAAGGGCTGCAAAGCGTGCCGTGAGTGTAGCGAAGGGTCAGGCCTATGATGACCTTTACCAGTACCTAGGCACGAAGGAGGGGGAGAAGGACATTTATAGGATGGCTAGGATTCAGGAGAGGAAGACAAAGTACATCAACAAAATCAAATGCATCAAGGATAGGTCGGATCGACCACTGGTAAAGGATGGGGAGATCAAGGACAGATGGCGAGAGTACTTCGACAAATTGTTTAATGGGGAGAGTAAGGGTCCTACCCTGGAGTTGGATGACTTATTTGAGGATAACAATAGACGCTTGGTGAGGAGAATTCGGGAGGCAGAGATCAGAGAGGCTATGAAGAGGATAAAGAGAGGTAAAGCAATGGGCCCTGATGGTATCCCCACTGAGGTGTGGAGATGCTTGGGCGCCAGAGCGTTAGTATGGCTAACTAAGCTTGTTAACCTCATTTTTCGGTCAAACAAGATGCCTGATGAATGGAGGAGAAGTACTTTACCGATCTTCAAGAACAAGGAAGATGTTCAAAGCTGTGGTAACTACCGTGGGATTAAGTTGATGAGCCATACGATGAAGCTCTAAGAGAGGGTTATCGAGCATCGCCTACGACGAGTGACGAGTGTGACCCAAAACCAATTTGGGTTTATGCCTGGAAGGTCGACCATGGAGGCGATTTTCCTAATATGACAGTTGACGGAGAGATATAGGGACCAAAAGAAGGACTTGCACATGGTCTTTATCGACTTGACAGAGTACCGAGGAATGTCATGTGGTGAGCCTTAGAAAAGCACAAAGTCCCATCTAAGTACATTACCCTCATCAAGGATATGTACAAGGATGCGATGACGTGTGTCCGAACATGTGGGGGCGATACCAGCGACTTTCCAATTAAAATAGAACTACACCAGGGGTCAACATTGAGCCCTTATTTATTTGCCTTGGTGATGGATGATGCCACAAGGGACATACAAGGTGATATCCCTTGGTGTATGCTCTTTGCTGATGATGTGGTGCTAGTTGACGAGAGTAGGGCAGGGGTAAATAGCAAGTTAGAGCTGTGGAAGGACACGTTAGAGTCGAAAGGCTTCAGACTTAGTAGGACGAAGACCAAGTACATGACGTGCGCTTTCAGCATGGCTACACATGATGATGGTGACGTTAGCCTTGACAGGCAAATGGTGGTCAAGAAGGAGACTTTCTGGTATTTAGGATCGATGCTACAAAAGGATGGCGGCATTGATGTTGATGTTAGGCATAGAATTGCAGCCGGTTGGTTGAAATGGCGTCAAGCTTTGGGCGTTCTCTGTGATAAGAGGGTGCCACAAAGGCTAAAAGGTAAGTTCTATAGGACGGCGATTTGCCCGGCGATGCTTTACGGTGCTGAATGTTGGCCTACAAAAAGGCAACATATCCAACAACTAAGTGTAGCAGAGATGCGTATGTTGCGTTGGTTCTGCGGGCACACAAGAAGGGATAGAATCCAAAATGAGGATATTCGAGATAGGATCGGGGTGGCTCCAATTGAGGAGAAATTGATTCAACATCGGCTGAGGTGGTTCGGACATGTCCAACGGAGGCCTCCTGATGCACCGGTGCGTAGGGGTGTTCTACAGCGGGTCGATGATGTAAAAAGAGGTAGAGGTCGGCCTAAACTCACTTGGGAAGAGTCGGTTAAGAGAGACCTTACAGATTGGAATATCTCCAAGGATTTAGGCGGTGGATAGGAGTGCTTGGAGGCTAGCAATCAACGTGCCAGAACCGTGACTTTTTCTCCTTTCTCTTTTGCTCCAATCTCTTACTTTTTTTTGAGTCCTTTTTGTGTTTCTCTTACCATTGGTTCTCTTGGGTTTCATCTCTAGCCTACCCCAACTTGCTTGGGACTAAAAGGCTATGTTGTTGTTGTTGTTGTTGTCTTCATATAAGGATACACTGTGGTGTGACATTGTGCTTATGGATGCGTGGCACCTTTTGTTATGGCGTCCATGGCAGTTTGATCGAGCCATGGTACATGATGGGCGCCTTAACACGTATGAGTTTACATTTGACGGTGTCCACTTGGTTTTGCATCCTTCTAATCCCCATTCGATGTGTGGCAACAGAGTGCGATTTTTGAGGAAGATGATGGGCTATTGTACGACTGTCCGCCTATTTTTGATGAGGAGCCTCCGGTAACGGAAACATATCTTTGCAGCAATATGGGTCCCGCGTGGGACGTCGCAAAAGTTGAGCCTTTGACAGGGATGCCACGAGGTGTGTGGTTCATTGGACGATCATTCGATGGCGTATGATGTGGAAACTTTGTGTGGGTTGTTTCCCCGGTGGACGGACGAGTGGGCCCTTATGAGATTATCGATTGGCTTCCTCCAAATGGATACCGTCTTCATTTTCCCTCTCATGCTCGTTTGTCGGATGTTTTTCACGGGGCGCAGTTGGCGCCTTTGCATATCGACGACTCCGACGGAGACGAGCTCGGTCCGGATTCGAGGGCGAATCCTTCTCAACTGAGGGAGGATGATGGAGACGAGTTGCGTTGGATTTTCTGGACAAGTACGATCGGCTTTCGGCGTTGATTTGATTAGTCACGTTGTATTATTATTTATTATCTTTATTCCTTATTCATCTTAATTAGTTGATTAGGAAAATATTCATTTACTTGCTCTTCAAGTTAGGGATTTAGGAAATCTTGGACTCTATTTATTCTCATTGTGGGATGAGAACAGACGATCAGTTGATGAATAAGAAATAAAAATCCGTTCTTGTGTGGTTTAACGAGAGAGTATCTCTTTTATCTAAAGGCATTTTTAGTATGTACAAACAACATTTTTTTTAATTTTTATTTAATTAAACATGAAAAAGGACACTTGTCATCCATTAAAAGATAATTGTTGTTAGGTATGTACGAGGCAATGTACGAAATGACCTGACTGTAAAATGACCCAAAAAACATCTATGTAATTACTGGAGTACTTAAGTACTTGGGCAATCCAGTTCTTTTTCACGTCACAACCAAATGACGTGTTTCAATTAACTATGAACTTCAACTTTTTAGTTAATTTTCTCTAAGGAAGTATCCTTAACCCGTTCAAGGTTACTTTCCACCACCCGAATTTGTAGGCATGGACTATAAACTTCATTATCCTAAGGATTAAATATGAGTTTTTGTAAAATAACAATTCTACATGTAGACACGAAATTAGAAATTAGTTAAGGTGGAAGCACTTGTACTTGTAGAGGACATCTTGAGCCTATTGCATGATGTGGGTTCTAGTCTTTTGTTTCAAATTGTCCTAGATATTGGTGATTGTTGATTTATCTGTTTTTGTTGTTTGTATCTTTGTCTTTTGATGTAGTGTAGTGGTGGCCTTATTTGGTCTTGTTAGGGGGGCTTCTGGAGCATCCTTTTTTAAGTCTCTTGGGTGTACTTGTGTATTTTTGGGAGTTTCTTGTTGTAAGCGTTGGTTATACGGTTGTACATTTTTTGAGTTTAGTTATAAAATTTGATGTTTGATTAAAAAAAAATAATAATAAAAAAAATAAAAAAAAAAAAAGACACGAAAGTAGAAAAAATCTACATTACACTGAATCATTTTAAACTGAATTTTCTTCCGAACTATTTTAAAACAAAGAAATTATTGTTTCTGGGAAATAAAAAGGCATAAACAAATATATCCGAAAACGAATTGGAATGTACAAGAAAGCTATCAAATTACGATGGTGGAAATGATAAGGATAGTAATTTTTGAGATTTCATGACCAATTGCAATTTAGCATCTACCACATAGGGCTACGATTCTCTCCTGTGAGAGCGAACATTATCTCCTGTGAGAACGATCATTATCTCCTGTGAGTGCGTTGTATTTCCTTGGTGAGGATCCATTCCTTTGTAGAGGGTTTCGGTTAGAGAAGGTTCAAGTTAGCGGCAAGACCCTAATTCCCAAATTGGGAGATTCCTTATGCAGTAGCTAGGGTTCTTGAGAGTATATTCGAAATAATGTCTAGTCCAAGGGCATAGAACGTAGAGGAGGAATTGTCGAAACAGATGGATAAATTCTCTTTATCCAATAAGGAAGCAGGTGACATTGAGCTAGGGAACGATGACATAAAAGCCGGTGAGGAAGATGTTAATCGAAGCTTGTTTGGGAAAATTATCGGAGATAGGAAAGCAACACTGGTGGGAGTCAAACGAACCATGACAGCCATTTGGAAGATCCACCAAGCAATGGAGGTGTGCGAGCTTAGTACGAATTTCTTCCAATTTGTTTTTCATTCTAGAGAAGATTTACAGAAAGTGGCAACAGGTAACACATGGTTATTTGAAAATCAGTACCTCATTCTCAAAGAATGGAGAGAAGAAATGAATATAAATCATTCGTGTTTTGACGAAGTAGTTCTTTGGGTTCAAGTGCACAATATACCTTTGAACTGGTTTTGCACGGAAGTCGGATTAAAAGTAGGCAATGTGTTTAAAGGAGTTCGAAATGTGGTCATCAATCAGTCAGGGCATGTAGCTGGTAGACATATGAGATTATTAGCAGTCATTGATTTAAAGGAGGCGCTACCTAGATGCACACATATCTGACTAGCTAATCAGAGGGTGCGAGTCAATTTCAGATATGAGAGGTTGGTTAATCTCTGTTATTATTGCGGCCGACTTGGTCATTTGGATAGGACTTGTAATCAAAGAATCCTTGATATTGAGAGCCATACTCTTCACGAGTGACAATTCGAGGAATGGCTCAAGGCATCGGTGACCTTCTCTAACAGTCAATATAGTCCCTTAAAAGGGTCAGGAAGGAATGGCACATGCTCAGATTCCCCAATACCTAATTCAGGGGCTTCAGTTGCAGACATCGATTCTCTGGGGAAGGTGATTGGAGATAGTAATAAACTTCAGGAATTAAAGCTCACCCCAGAGGAAGTAAAGGCGGAGAGTTCTAAAGGGAAAGGCAAGATTATAGAAGAAGAAGCACCGAGAGCAGATATAGCAATTACCAACGCCATATGTCCAGCCCAGATCCAAGTAACAGAATCACAGTCACTTCTTAACAAGGAATTGGAAATTATGGAAGTAGAAATAGCTGCAGAGTATCTCAACCAGGAGAAATCAGCAGACCAGAAAGACAACACCACCTTGCCACAAAAAAGAACCAGTATCAGTACATGGAAGAGGGCAGATATAGAAGGAAGAAATGTAAGGAAACCCACTGGACAAGATCTAGTTGTCAAAGATAAGAAGTGGAAGAGAAACATTGAGGAAGTGTTCTTGACTTGTCAAAATGTTGAAGAAACAAATGAGGAACAGGTTGGGAAAAAGTTGAAAGTTTCAGGAGAAAGGGTGGAGGTGACTAGCCCAGAATGGTCACAGGGTGCTCAATGAATGCTCAGGTGTAGAACTTTAGAGGTTTGAGTGGCCCCTCTACAGTTCCCCAGCTAAAGGAGTCCATTAGGACCCATCACCTCCATTTTGTGTTTCTTTCAGAGACAAAAAAACAAAAGAATTTTATTAACACTGTCTGTAAAAAATTAGGATATCATAATAGATTTGTTGTTGTTGATCCAGTTGGCATAAGTGGAGGGTTGCTCCTTATGTGGAGAGAGGAAGTTACCATTATACAATTGAGAAGACATTCCTTTTGCATAGAGGTGCAATTCAAATGTCAACCTCAGGAGGAACCCAACTGGGCTTGTTTTGTCTATCTGAGTACAGACAAAAGAACTATAGAAGATCAATGGAGGCATCTCATGAAAGCTGACTAGGGAGCTGTGTGGACAGTGTTAAGGGATTGGAATGATATAAGCAGTGTGGAAGAAAAGAAAGGTGGTCGTCCGAGATCACAAGGGAGCCTAGAAGGATTCCAAGAGTTCATAGCCAACATGACAATGCAAGTAGTGAAAGGCACTGGACATCCATTCACCTGGGGAAACAACAGGGAAGGTGAGGGCTTTGTAGAAGAAGTTCTTGACAAGATGTTTGTGTCTTTAGACTGGCTGACCAGATATCCAAATACTCATGTAGCGAATGTGTATAAAGCCTCTTTAGATCATTGTTTGTTAATTGTGGAGTCCAAACCAGCACAACAAAACTTCAAGACTCGGTTTCAGTTTGATAAAAGGTCGTTGGGCAATGGTGATGTAGTTGAAGTGATTCACACAGCATGGAATACACCCTAAACAGGTACACCTTTTTACAGAGTCAAAGAGAGATTAAAGAAGACCAGAGAGGCATTAATTAGCTGGAACAAATACTTCAAAGCTGAGAAGGGAAACAAGATGGCCAGAATGGCAATGTGAATAGAAGAGATGAGAAGGGAAGCAGGGGACAGAAATTGGGAAGAATGGGATCACATACATAAAGAAATGGACCAAGAATACCAATCTGAAGAGGTGTTTTGGCAAAAAAAAGCCAGAATCCATTGGCTCAAAGAAGGAGACAAGAACACCAAATTCTTTCATGCTTATGTTATGCAGAGAAGAAAGCACAATGCTATCAGTAGACTTGTGAATGAACAAAACATAGTGCAGGAAGACAAGGCAGAGTTAGGAAAACATATATCCTCCTTCTATGAACAACTTTTTACATCAGAGGGTTCAAGAAATGAAACAGAGCTACTGCAGAATATACCAACTTCCATTTCTTCTCAAATGAATGAGGAGCTGGTATTGCCAATCACTGAGAAAGAAATTAAGACAGTCTCAGCCCTTTGAAAGCACCTGGAGCAGATTGAATGTCAGCTTTTTTTTTTCCAGCATTTATGGCTACTTATCAAACCTGAATTATGTCTTGTAGTTGAGAATTTTTTCATGTCTGGGAGGATATTAAAATATTAGAACCACACTCTCATTGCATTGGTCCCAAAGTCAGCACCCCAGCACTATCAGTCAGTTTAAGCGCATCAGCCTATGTACAGTGGTATACAAAATAATAGCCAAGATCTTAGCAGCTAGATTGAAACCATTCTTACATTATTGTGTTGATAAATCTCAAGCAGCTTTTCTCCTAGGCATGCAACTAAGTGACAATGTGGTTATTGCTCATGAGGTGTTTCATTAGTTGAATAGGCATAGGACTGGGACTCATAGATACATGGCAATCAAGTTGGATATGCTAAAGGCATATGACAGGTTGGAATGGAAGTGTATTCACCTGACAATGATCAAAATGGGATTTTGCCAACAATTTGTGAAGTGGATTATGGATTGTGTGTCTTAAACATCCTTTTCTGTCCTTGTTGATGGAGATGTGTGGGGCTACTTTGGGGCAAGCAGAGGAGTGAGACAGGGTGATCCCCTATTTGCATATCTTTTCATACTAGCTTTAGAATTATTGTCCACTCTTATCAAGACTGAAGTGGAAAGAGGACAGTTCAGAGCTTTGGCTAGAAATGGACCAGTTCTTTAACATTTACTATTTGCAGATGACACCTTGATGTTTTGCAAAGCAGACCCCCCATCATTCAAGGGTGTTAATGCAATTACTTCAGAAATATCAGAATTTCTCAGGGTAACAAGTGAATTTGGGAAAATCATCCATATTTTTCAGTAAGAACTCTTCCCTAAATCAACAAGCAGCAGCTTGTCAAATCCTCAAAGGTATACAGGTGCAGAGATCCACAAGATATTTGGGTCTACCTCTAAGTATAGGGCAAAATAAAAAAGATGTGTTCAGCTATGTGGTTGAGAGAGTAACGCAGAGAATTGTTAATTGGAAGAATGTGTACCTCTCCTCAGCAGGCAAAGCAGTGTTAGTCTCTACTGTCCTTAATGCTTTGCCAATCTTTGTGATGACATGCTTTTAGCTTCCTGTAGGGATATGTAAACAGATTGCCAGTATGTTTGCACACTTTTGGTGGAGCAAAGGAGGGGACAGATAGAAGGGCATTCATTGGAAAAGCTGGGAAAAAGTTACCATTTCCAAAGAGCATGGTGGTCTCGGGTTTAAAGATAGTGCACTCTTTAACCAAGCACTACTTGTGAAGCAATTATGGAGAATAATCACACAGCCAGAACTATTAATGAGTAGAGTCATCAAAACAAAATATTCCCCCCGAACTCCATCTTTGAAGCAAAAATTAACAACAACTCCTCTTGGCAATGGAGAAGTTGGGGAAAGGTCAAATGGCTGCTCAAAGCAGGGATGAACATTGAAGTCAGGAATAGAGCCACTATCATAATTCAAGATTTTAATTGGCTTCCAGGTGGTTTAAAGAGAAAACCTCTGATTAGAGATGAAAATAGAGATGGGCACAGGTGGATGCAAGAGTTATTTGAAGATGGAGGATATCGGTGGGATGCTCAGAAGGTGACAGAATGTTCCAAGAAGAAGACAGCTCAACTATATTAAGTTTGAATACTCTCAGCCCTACACAAATGGACAAGTGGAACTGGGCGTTTAGTCCAAAAGGCAAGTTCACTGTTGCAGACTCTTATTTATTTCAGATGAAGAGAAAAGTCCTTCAACTGGACATGCCAGATGGTAGCTCCACTGCAGGCAGAGACAAAATGGTAAGGCAAAGGACCTGGACTCTGTTTATTCCTAGTAAACTCAAGTATTTTGTGTGGAAATGTGTGAATGGTATTCTCCCTATCAATGTGAACTTGAAGCACAAAGGTGTACCAGTAGATATCATTTGTAAAGGCCGTGGAGAAACTGAGGAGACTATAGAACATGTTTTCTTTAAATGTAAGAGGGCAAGGCTAGTTTGGATACATGCTCCAATAAGCTGGGATGATATTGATACTAGATCTTGCAGGTTTAAGGAATGGTGGAGCCAAGTGTGTTTTGTAAATAAGTCTTTGGTTTCTGAAGCCTGGATCCAATTAACAACCTATATATTGTGGTGGCTTTGGAAATCAAGGAATTTGTGCCAATTTGAAAATGTATAGAGACAAGAACTTCTCACAGTACAAGCAGCTGCAAGGGCATGGCAGGAAGCTGTGGATCTGCGGACAAGTTCCAGGAGAATCAACCGAAGCACTGGTTAGGTCTGTGTCTTTGCAGTTCAGTTTCTAGTGTTCGTTTTTTCTCCTCTGTTATGAATTTGTGGATTTTCTTTGGTGTTAGCTAGTGGTTTCAGTAATCTTCTACTGCATTAGCTTTCCTGTTAGGTGTTAAAGTCTAGGTCACTCCTTGTTTGATGTGGTTCTCTCTGGCTACGGCCCTCGGTTTTTCATTTACATAGTTAGTTAGTTGGTGTTTTCAGGTGTTGCCCGTTTAGTTCTGTTATTTGTCTTTGAACATTGTACTGTCTTTCTTTGGTTTAATGGAGATGTTCTATCGTTTGG